TGTTTAGGAACGACAAGCTCTAATAAGTATTCTGACTCATATTAATGTTCAAATAAATGTCAAAACGAAGTAAACTTTTTAATATCGAACCAAATTAGTTAATTTCAGTGTAACGAAAAATTAAAAAAATTTACTTTTCGTCGGACTATCATGAAAAAAATAAAAGGCATGATTCTTAACTTTTTTATTCAGGTCTACAATGAAAAATTAAAACATGCTTCTTGTACATCCGAACCTGCATTTGCACTATGTAAAACATAGAACACTATCAAAGTTTGTTATAATATATTACCACGGTGTCTAATTATGCGGTGGCTGTAGAGAAATAATTTTAATCAGAAAATGTCATCTGCGGTTAGGATGAAAATTTGCGTGCCTGTAGATCAGTTCCCCTGTCGCGAATCAGCGATTGTTGATACAATCGCGGGACAAGGCCGGTTAATTAAAACGCCTTCCAAGACGTGTTTAATTAAACCGCTCCCAATAAATTCCGTAACATCGACTGGATTGCAACGTCGCATAGCCGCGTTATCATTCATCCGACATTAACGGGCAGTTATCAAACGACGGCTAACGTTCGATAATTCAGGTATGAAGGGAAATCCATCGTCGATTACATGGAAAATGAGTTTGGAAAATAGTCTTACATTCTTTCACGCGCAGCTTAAATTAAACCAAACACTTTTTATAATTCAATTCTATATTTATAATTGCTATTAAAATCTGATATTCTGATTGGAATTGAAGGATCTATGAAAATGTCCTGTTCGTGTCAAAACTCGTTCGACACGAAAGTCGGTACCCCGTTAGCGCAGTTCGTTATGCGATTTGCATAAGCCGACACGCGTGTCTAACGTCTGAAGCTCACGTCTGTAATCTCTGTACAAGGAGAATGAACGCGGCGCGCGAAGTTTCGAGTGAAATTCTGTACTCTTTAATTGATTCCTACCCGAATTCTCGTTCTCGAGCGTTAAATAGAGAGAAACGACAATGAGGCGGTGATTAGAGCCTCGCTGGCAGACGATATTCACCGTGTACATATATGAACAGGAAGCGAAGAGCGCGTGTCTTCATCAGATTCAGGCTGTACATATGTACACGTTACCTATCCAGCTCTTGTTTTAACAGGTGAACGGACTTAGTTACGTATGTATTCCACCTTGACTGACAGTTCTCGTTTATGTATGTTTCAGATGGGCAGGTGTACGCTGCGACGGTGGCCGACTTCTCCGGTGGCGAGCCTCTGATTCACAGGGACAAGATCCGCACTGAGCGCTCGGATCTCAACCAGCTGAACGGTAATGGAAGCTCGGCTAATTGCGTTAGAATATATTCTGGCCCGGCGTTAAGCGCCGGCGACGATACTTCGTAATAAGCTGCTACTTCGGCTGATCTCGTTTCCTTGTTACTATCAAACATTAGAAAAATAATTATACATGTAGTTCAATTTACGTAATTTTATTTAAGTCAAAAATAAGAGAAGCCAATTTGCAATTTTTATTATCTTTTGATTTTATAACAGTCCAACTGTCTTTGCTCATATAAAACATAAATTGCTTATTCAAATTAAGCTTATATGAACCCTTATATAAAAACAATAAGAAAGCATTGAAATTTTAACAGTGACTAAATATTACATTAATAAAACTACAACATTGAACTGAACACTGAATTCTCTCAGAAACCCAGAATCTTTGAAGTGAGAAGTCGTATTTAAACGAAATAAAAGGTGGTAGAAACGGTCGATTCGACTGTACTCTCTGGGATAATTTAGTGATAAGCAGTCAGCGTGGCAGGGAACCGCTTAATAATCTCTGCAGCCGGTGGAAACGGGAACGTGGTTGGCTGATACTTTAAAAACGCGGGTGTGCATTACCATAGCTATTTATTGGTTTATCGATTTATCCATCGGCGCGTACGTATGGTTCGAGTGGCTGATATGCCAGAGTAAAAAAATGGTCCGTGTCGATCGACGTCGCAACGGATTGGTAGGCAGTTATGTACACGTAGGTAGACCGTGCGCGCTTTTTAATGTTGCTCAAACCGTCATCGACGCTCTCGCTAATGACGCACGACCGCCGCGATTAACCCGCGGTTCGTAACGCGTTGAAACGTACAATTCACTCGAGAGCCACGGTCAAACGCATTTACTTTCGTTTTACCAATTTTCCATTATCGCCGTTTATATCCGGGCACTCACTCAGGCGTCGTAAAACTCTGTTTCGAAATCAACTTGGCAAACTGTTAAGTTCGACGGTGTTCTTCTCGCTTTAATAA